AAGTGTTCTGCCCATCGTCCCAGTCGCCTTCCCTGCGAGTGAATCGCCGATCCGTCCTTCTCCGCTATAACCTCACTAACTGTTGTTGACCATTTCCCCCCAGTCTCCTTAATAAGTCTAAATAACTGTCTACTGTTACCGATCGCCGCTGCCTTTTCCATCTCTTTAGCCTTTGCTGCCCACCACTGTTCACGATCGTTGCGCAGACTTTTCGTCAGTTTATTTTTAAGTTGCGCTCGCTCTTCATTGTACTCAGAGCCTGCAGGGATGCATTCACGTGCATCCATTAGTTTGGAAGAAGCTGCTGATATCCACTGGCTCTTTTTAGCCATTATCTTGGAGTCGGCTACAGTCTCCAGTGCTGCTTTTACAGTAGACTGAAGATGGCACCAAGCTTCTTCTGGATGAGTGACAGTCTTTTGTTCCGATAACTGCCTAGCCAACTTCTCACTGAACACGGCTTTGGTGTTTTCGTTGTCCAGCAGAACTCGTAGTGGTTTTGTTGCCAAATTTTTTCTACGTCCATTGAGACGCAGGCATATACGTGCTCGGACCAACGCATGATCGCTGTCCAAACACGTACTCCAGAAGGAGCGGCAGTCTTCCACCGATCCTCTCCAGCGATGACTAATAGCAATGTGGTCTATCTGTGTCCATCGCTGAGTCGAGCTCGGTGGACGCCAGGTCAGACAGTGCCTTTCTTTATGTCTGAAATTTGTGCTGGCTAAAAATAGGCGGTTATCTGAGCATAGTTGTAATAGGCGATCACCGTTATCTGTACGTTCAGCTGGGATTCCGAAAGTGCCACCTAAGTGCCTTTCTGCCTCACTCAGTCTACCCACCTGTGCGTTGAGGTCACCTGCAACAACCACTACGTCCGAACGTTTGGCTTTCGAGAGGAGGTTAGACAGTTTATGGTAGAACTCGTCCTTCACTTCATCCGAACTACAGTCAGTGGGTGCGTAAGCAGAGATTACAAAGAGACAACGGCGAGTCTCACTATTCCTTTTAGTTCTCACTGTGCCGTTCAGCCTCATAGCGCAGAGGCGACTATCAACTGGGATCCAGTCTAGTAGTGAGTTTTCTGCCCTGGTGCTTAATGCTATACCTACACCTGCAAGACCACGAGAGCTAGCTATCGAATCTCCAGAAACTCGAAGGGTGAATTTTGCAGATTCACCAGATTGGTCAGGAGAGGTCAGGTGAATAACCACACTTGGGTCCTGTATGCGTGTCTCACAAACACAGCACACATCCATGCCCCGAGTTGCTAGAGTCTTTGCCAACGAAGCCTGTTGGCCAATTTGACGGAGGGTGCGGACATTGAAGGCTCCAATATGTAATTTGGAGCGTGGTTTAAGGAGACCAGGGATGCTGTTCTGTGGACTCAGATCGTTGTCGAAGGCTGCAGAGGTAGGAGAAATTGAAGATGATGCAGCATCATTAATTAAGAGACGTGAAGGAAGATTAGAAGGTAATGATGGAGGAGGAGGATAGCAGTCAGAAGAAACTTGGGTGCTGACAGAGTTGTGAGGGCGGTTGACACTTCCCGGCTGCCCACACCGTGGAAGGCTATTTCTTCTTAAGGTACCTGAAAGAGATTTGTGTGACCGCAGAGCCCATCGGACATCTGCTTGAGGCCTGTCACACCCAGCCTTTTGAGTATGATTATTTTGAATTTTTGTATTTTTGGGGCCGGATGGTCGAAAGGAAACGACAAGTGAACCAACACCGCCGGCCCGGCAGACCGTGGGGCGTGGTGGAGTGTGTTATTTTTGGGGCCGACCTTTTCTAACCCCCCCTTCCACTGAGAAGGCAGCATCAGCTTGGCACTGCTGGTCATCCAAGGGAAACACCTTACTGCTGTCACACCCCATCCAGCTAGCAGCAGTACGACTTCGCCCTCAGACCCCCATCATAGTGTAGCAATTTACACTATAACGGTAACTGCTTTTCGTCTAACCACTACCCAACAGACCTTTCTGGTATGGTAGGACCTCGAGGGAACAAGCGTTCCACCAGCATAGCTCGTTGGGTCATTGTGATATGCAAGCCCGACCACCACGTCAAGGTAGCAGTTCTCATTTCTTCCTCACACCATCTCTTCCACATCATCCTTCGATGCTCAATTCGCCGTTTCCGATCTAAGTTCCACTCGAGTACCTAGCCTGGCGCATGATGTCCCCAGTTATTGCTTGTATTATACCGTCGTCGAAGCGTTTGAAGTGATCGGTCCCGAGTTCCAATCCGAGTGGGAAGAACACTCATTGGGAGGCATGTACATCCATGTACGTCCTAAATAGGACGAAATAGGCATCCTGGATTCCACTGTTAGCCACTATCCATCATCACCATAAATAATCATATTAGTAATAATAATAATAATAATAATAATAGTGATAATGACAATAATAACGATACTACTGATAATAATAGTAGTAATAACGGTAGTAATAATAATTATTATTATCGGATAGGAAATACAAACGTATACAAACTAAACATGAACATCATCATAAACATTCGTGTCATTTGATGAAATCATCTTGATAACTGGAGAATATCACGATGATGGTGATGATGATGTTGATGATGACAGTATAAACAGGTTTTGAGTGCATCACTGAATGTGATTAATATTGACAAACTAAAAAAAAAACAAGCTAATTGATAATTGAATGGATAAACTGTCTACTACTAAAGCTGCTTCTAAAGGGTTTATTCCCATCCGTCCCCCCCCCCCACACACTTTCACGCTCTCCCTCCACCCTGAAAGAATGCCACAATTTTGTTGTGAATATATACTTAATTCTAGCAAAAAGAAAGCAGATTGTAGGTGAGTATAAAATAGGTCCTGATTCATCGACAAACTTAAGCTATGTCAACAAGTGAATACATATGTCATCAAAGAATCAGTCTTCAATCATTGATTCCTATCGTCAGAATGACTCCAACCTGGGAGTCTACATCTTCCAACATAGAAAATATCAACAGTCGAGGATTTCATCGATTTACCTGTCTTGCCAACTAATACTTCAAAGATATCTGCTGTCAAAACCCTGTAATCACTTCACATCTTCTATATCTCATAACTGTAGAATAACAGGATGTGTAACTAATCAGAGGGTAAGAACTGGCGTGGAATAATAGAACCATAGAATAAAAGTCAACTCAATTCTCTACCTCAATTTCATCCACTCTGAAAAGGTCTACCTTCGACAGCATCGACCAAGAAGTAATTTGGAAGGCAACTGCTTCAACAATACGCTTTTAGTGACACAAATAGTCATCAACCTCATTCAACACTACCTATATGCTGGATGAAGATGCTACATGTCAAGTGAACCACAGACGAAAGCTCAGTGATGCATTTGAAGTGAAGACAGGGGACAAGAGTAAGACAAGGCTGCCGCCTACTATCACCGATCATATTTCCGATTGTGGTGCACTGGATCATGCACCAAACCGTGAGGGGTGAGAAGATGAGTAAAAGACCCTAGAAGATTTGGACTTCGCCTCGTTGATGATTGATGTCTAACGTCTCACAAACTCGAAGATTTACAGGCAAAAACTAACAAGTTGGCAGAAAGGGCAGCGAAGACCGGACTTCCTTCAGGTGAACATAGAGAAGACATAGATGATGAAGATAGCCAACCAAACGACAACAACAACAAGCACCAATCACCATCAACGGGAGAAATCTGAAGGAAGTTGCCTCTTTCACCTACCTACCTACCTACTTGGCATCATCCGGATTTTCAACACCAATGTCAAGTCAAAGCTTGCTTCTATGTGGTTCAGGGACTTGACGCGTTACGAAAAGTATTTCCAATGAACTACAGACATACATAAACAACTGCCGCCTACGCTTACTCCATACAAGATTAGATGGCCAGGATAATAGGAATAAGCAACAAGGAACTCACTCTGACCTGGCAACCAACCAACCAACAACCTATCGCCCAAAAATATACGAAAGCAGAAATTGGAAATGGATTGGATTAAACATACACTGGTAAGACCGTTTGGGTACATCACACGCCATTCCAGACCCTCGAGTGGAACCTAAATGGGAAGCGGCGAGTTGGGCTTCCGAGGCGAGGGTCACATGGAGAGGAGATGGTGTGAAGAAGAAATGAAAGCTTGTGGGTAGTCATGATTCAGTGTGATATTTCTTTAAGATAAACTAAGTAGTTCTAGACAATTCTCGTTCATTAAGAGTACTCTTTAAACAGATTAAAGTGATTTTAACACCAGACGACTGTTTCGCTCATTAACTAACTCATCAGCCGTGTACTTAGCTTTATTCAGAGGAATATTGTAGTAGCAAAACACAAAGGATGGTAGAATCGAGAATGAACACACCATCATCATCATCATCATCATTACATGATAATTAATATAAATGAATCTCTCCTATCATTTTAAGTACAAGAAGCATAGGATATACTACTAACAGTAGAAAAAAGTAGTTTCCAACTTCAGTGTTAAGAAATGATAACAAACTATTTATAAACAGTTTACTCGATGGCTAGCTAACAACAGAATCCAGCTGGACACATATTTCGTCCTTTTCTTGAGAGTTATTCATCAGCTGAATACACCAATAAATGATATCATTCCCATATCAAGCCAGTAGAATCATCGACAACCATCTCCTTAAAACTCAGTAGAGTTTGAAAAACTGGATAAAATACACATCACACAGAAGTTCTATCTAGCTATAAGAGATGAAAATGAGAAGTTATGAATTAGTGAAATCAATCAAATTGAACATGACAATAGTTATCCAACAATGACCCGAAGGTCCTTGGTTCGAGCCCTGAAGAGTGGAATCATGGATGAGCACTACCCAAGAGTCTCATATTAGTAAGACGAAACAGGTGCTGCACAGTTCTACCAGTGAAAAGTTAGACATTCGATTATTATTATTATTATTATTATTATTATTATTATTATTATTATTATTATTATTATTATTATTATTATTGAGTACTTACCAAATCCACTCGACCGAAACCGCCAACACCTAATACACAAATACGGTCTAAATCTTTCAGTTGTATATTACATTGAATTTTTGGTGCCAGTGCTAAACTTGTTGGAAGTAATTGTTGACCGAGTATTTTTGTACTTGGTGAATGTAGACCATCTTGACTTTTTGTTGGTGAAGCTAAATCTAACGTTCTTGTTGCATCTTTTATACTTGATCCAGATGATAAATTCTTCGATAAAGAACTGAAAGAACAATAAATAAATTATTGAATGGATAGAGAATGAAGCTAAGAAGCAAAGGATACACTATTACTTAATAACATGAGTAGTTGTAAAACTAATCAAGCTGATCTGTAGTATTATTCTATCAGGTAATCAGACTATTGGATGTTCGTTTCACTCATTTAGAGAGTTCAAGTGTGATCTTGTGTGAGGGTTAATGACACTACCTAACTGACTGACTGACTGACTGACTGACTGACTGACTGACTGACTGACTGACTGACTGACTGACTGACTGACTGACTGACTGACTGACTGGCTGGCTGGCTGGCTGGTTACATATGAGCCTGCATGGTTTCTAACTACTACTCAAGTTGTTCAGTAGTAGTAGTAGTAGTAGTAGTAACTTTCGATAGTTCATGAGACTTTTATCAATAAAGAATGAATTAATTGTTTGAAAGTTGAGCATAACAAAAAACAATCCTTGATGATCAAGTAGTCATATGATGTAATGCGTCTTTTTGACTATTCCAAGGATCAGACAAACGAAGACTAACTGGGTCAATAACTGTAAATTGTTGTTTATACTAATTGATAAACAGAGAAATCGATTAGAACAAACATCACTATTGATTGAAGAAACTCTAATAGGCGACTATAACGCATCTCTCTCTCTCTCTCTCCCTCCCCACCTTTGATGAGGTATTTATGATGATCCAAGTCCACTATGAGTTGGCTGCAGACGGACTCCCATTACACGAAGATGTAATGTAAGGCGAAAATGTAATTGATAGTAGTCATGAAAAGTCGAAACTTTATCATCTCTCAAAACGACTCATCAGTAGCCTTCAGTTTTCATTGACAGTAATCTGACATCATGTTGTCATGTAGGCCTTACGTGGCGTAACTGACTGATTGACTGGTAACTGTTCCGAATATACATATCATCCTCATCTTAACGACTCTATACCGAATCTCACCGTTTTCTAATTCTCTCTCTCTCTCTTTTAGTACTTTATATTTCTTCTGAATGAACTTTCGTTGCTTCTTCACCTTCCACTTTCACTGCCTCTTTACTTGATATACTGATAGATGGGTTATGGCAGCTCGGATGGTTATGCAGTAATCGTTGATCCTGTGTTGACTTCGATGATGATGACCTGCAGCCTTTGTACATCATCTAACTTCCAGGGTTTTTTTTTGGGGGGGGGGGGCATAAGTGAACTGTATTCATTCGTCACGGGAGTGCAACCAATTTCAAGTTGTCGATTCCTGAGTACAGACCGAATTATATCGATCATATTTGCAATATGGCAACCAAACTAGGAAGCTCAGCATCGCGGTGCACATTAGTAGATCTTAGTTGGTTGGAGGCAATCAGTAGGAAGCCTTGCTTGACCTAGATTTCATGCTTCTTTTTGGCACTCGTCAGCAAGCCGTATCTGCAACCTTGACGGAACTGATGTCCCGCCTGAGATTCAAACCCATGACAACCAGTGTTATAGTCAGAGACTTTACCGCTGAGCTATTCGCGCCGCGATTCACCTCCTGTAGGACTAGTTTACATGTATTGTTTGGTCACGGGAGTGCAACCAATTTCAAGTTGTCTAGTCCTGAGTATAGATCGATTTCTATCGATCATATTTGCAATGTAGCAACCAAACTAGGAAGCTCAGCATCGCAGCGCATATTAGTAGGTGTTAATTGGTTAGAGGCAATCGCCTGGAAGCCCTGGTTCGAATCTCAGGCGGGACATCAGTTCCGTCGAAGTTGCAGATATGCCTTGTTGACGAGTGCCAAAAAGCACGATATTTAGGTTCAGGGCTTACTGCTGATTGCCTCCAACCAACTAACATAATGAACTGTAGCGTAGTACAATCGATCCATAGCGAAGGGTTCATTGTGAAGGTGTATTTAATCAGTATTGATGATCAACATCAATTTGGTTCATCAGACATACATCACATCGATATCATAAATGAAATGATGATGATAACCAATCGAAAATCAAGATTCATTCAATCACCAACGAAAGAATAAGCCTAGCTGATATCCGAATTCTCATTTGATAATTGAAGGTGAAATGAAAATTTCGACCGCGCGGACGGATTCGAACCAGCGACTATCAAGGTTTCTGGCCCGAAACTCTATCAACTGACCTACGAGGTCCGATTACTCACCAAGTTTTTTTTCACTTCAATCACGAAAGGGTTATCTTTGCCCAACTACCATATGAATTCGTCATGCTGTATCACCATCGCTTGATCGATCGTATTCATACTGACTGCTCATAGTCAGGACTTCTCATTCCAATCGAAATGTAATTGAATTAGAGTGGAGGAGAATCATATCGATTATCACTTGACTATCTGAAATAGCAGGTGCGGTTTTGGCAGACTGGTATTTATACTTGATAAATCATCGGGACGGTAACCCGATGGTCGCTGGTTCGAATCCGACAGTACGAACCAGACTTTCATTTCATCATCAATTATCCCCCAGTATAAAAAATACTAGTCTGCTAAACCATGGATACTATCTCACTTAAATAGTCAAAATGATAATCCATATGATGGGGGCTCTCTCTAATTTCGATTGGGACGATAAGCTCTGACTACGGGCCAACCAATGTCAGTACAATCAAGCAGCAGTAGTACTAACACATCATGAATTCACATAGCAATCAGTTAAACCAATCCCTTTTTAGTGATTGAAGTCTTGTAGCTCAGTTGATAGAGTATCGTAGCAGGAATCCTAGTGATCACTAGTTCGAATCCGACAGTACGACCCACACTTTCATTTCACCCTTTAGTCATTATCTGGTATCAAATAATTAATTAATTAAAAAAAAATCACTTACGTATGACCTAGAAGTCTAGTTTCTTCATCAGCATACTCTTTATTTTTCAATTCTTGTATATCACCAATCAATTCTAAAAAGTCTCTATGAAAAAGAAAAGAAAATAGTTTATGGGTAAAGAAAATGAACAATATTCATGAAGGTGATAAGTATTATATTAATGATGGGTCATGGCTAGCAGTGGAATCAAGGATGCACATTTCGTCCTATTTGTGACTCACTAGTCAGTTGGATGTACCTGCTTCCCAGTGAGTGATATTTTTCCCACCGAGATTCGGACTCAGAAGCGATCGCTTCATATCATATTAAAACAATTATACTAAAAACTATACCCGTCGCACAAGAAGTGGCTATCATGGCTCGGTGGTGTAATGGATAACGCTCTGGTGTTTGAAGCGATTGCTCCTGAGCCTAAATCTCAGTGGGAACAACACCACTCCGCACTGAGAGGTAGGTACATCCAGCTGACGAGTCCCAAATAGGACGACATGTGCATCCTCAGATCTAACTGCTAGCCACTGCCCATCATTAACTTAATTAGAACATCGGCAATATCGAGGTATTCGTACAGGAGCCCATATGCCAGTAGAGACCGATCAATTCGATCCAATCAACAACGGTATCATATAAAAACAATTATACTGATGAGTATTATAGCCTAAAATTACGCTTGCGGTATGTAACTCCATTGGTCGCAACTTCTCATTAGAATATCGGGAAATCATCTCTTGAAACTAGTTACCAATGAGCCATAGATTAATTGTATGTAGGGTTTTTACGTTGAAGTTCATCAAGGACTACTGACATCATTTGGAGGAACACTTGGAACGTGGGAGAAGTGGACAACAGTTGTATCATCCTAGTATAAAAATACTGAGCAGTGTACGCACCCATAATCCTGTCATGGATTGAACCCACAAGTTTCAAGTTCAGTGATCAGCAAGATACGATTGAGCTCGAAGCCACTGGGTCACAATCCAAAACAGAAGTGAAGCATCTCCTACTGTTGGGCACTTTTATTATTATTTGTCCTTTAGGTTCCCAGTGGAACATAGGGATTCAGTAACACGTCTCCATCCCAGTTTCTTCTCTACAGTCTTCTCAATCTGCCTCCACGACTGCCCAGACTCACAGCAGACACAGGCAGGCAGCCCCCCTGTGTCCAGTCTAACGCCACCTTCAGGGGTACACCAGACCACCGGCGACACATCCCTTGATGAATGCATCGGCCAACGATAAACCTCGCTTTTGAGGAGATAGCATGATGTCTTCGACGACGGTGGTAATCCATAGCGCACAGGTATTACCTAACATGCCACTGATACGAGCGACCACCCTCCACTACGAAGTACCACCTGAGGGCGGATATAGATACCTGATTCCAGAACCAGGCACTGAGGACAGTACCTCCAAAGGGCGGGGGGGTGATGTAATGTATTCGAAACCTTATTGATAACACTGATCATTGTTTTTTTTCTTTCTCTTTCAGGGTACAACACAGCGAACGAGTTAGGGGAGGTGGAACAACGAATATGTAAACTTAATATTGGCGAGAACGTATAAAAACTTTGTCTGGATTGAGAGTTGTGTGGACGGCTCTCAGTTTAAGCTGTGACCCTAATAAAGAGGATACTGCATAATTCCTATTCTTTTTCGGCCTGCCTGTGTCTGATGTGAGTCTGCGTGTTTGCAACGCTTAAGGGTCATTACACATAGATTAGATGACTGAAAAAAATGGTTAGTTTTGATGAAGTTAGTTTGTATAGCAATATACCGATTGGCATGGCTCTGGAAGCAGTTAGAAACGAGCTCAATAATGACCATGAACTTACACTACGAACTAAGATACCAGTAGACGAGGTAATGTTAGGAGTACAGTTGTGACTAACCTCCACTATCTTTAGGTTTCAGAATAAAACGTACAAACAAATAGAAGGAGTTGCCCTGGAATCATCAACATCCCCCTATTGTGTTGACATAGTTATGGATAGTTGGGAACGCATAGCCGCAGAAATATTTAGACCTTCTCAAGAAGTTGGTGAATCCTTCAAAGTGTTGAGATCGGACATTATACACGTGGTTTCCTTACATATAAAAATTCAGTAGTCAATGCAACTGATCAATTCACCTACATGAATTAGAAAATAATGAAGGAGAATTAGCATAAAATGGAAACAAAATGGGAGTTTACACACCGGTGTCTATAGAAGACCTTCTTACTCAAATCGTCTCACTGTATGCCAGTTCGGTTATAGTTGGCTTAGTAAAATGTTTGAGTAACACGGCCAGTCCACTTACTAGTAAAAGAGAAGATACATTAAGGAAACCTTACTCATCAACAATTACCCTCTTAAATATTTGACAACTTCCTTAGGAACTGTAAGAAAAATATTAGTAACATATGTGTTAACAGTAAGGTACCGGCAGATTGGAAGAAGGACTATCTTGTCAAACTCCCGAAGAAAGAATACCTAAGCCTTTGCAAGAACTGGCGAGAAATCACGCTCCAGTCCAACCCAAGCAAAATATTATGCCGCATCATTATGAAAAGACTAAAGGATGCGTTGGATTCAAAACTACGACCGGGACAGGCTATCTGGCTGGATTCAGGAAGTACAAATCATGTGCGGACCAAATTGCAACGCGACGCTACACATCATCATAGAACAGAGTATAGAATGGCAGTCAACTCTCCACCTCAACTTCATCGATTTTGAAAAGGCCTTTGACAGCGTCGACCGAGAAGTAATTTGGCGGGCAACTGCTTCAACATTATGGAATACCACAAACCACAATGAGAAGCTCAGTGATGTTTTTGAAGTGAAGACAGCAGTAAGATAAGGCTGTCTACTATCATCAATGATCTTCCTGATTGTGGTAGACTGGATCATGCAACAAACAGTGAGGAACTGTGAGAAGAGGGGGATACGCTGGGCCGCGGAAAAGATCCTAGAAGATTTAGATTTCCCCGATGACATGTCTAATGTCCCATATGCTTTAAGATCTACAGGAGAAATCCAACAGAAGAGGCAAAGCAGCGAAGACGGGACTTCAAGGGAATGTAGAGAAGACAGAGGTGATGAAGATACCTAACCAACAACAACAACAACAAGCTCCAATCACCATCAACGAGAGAAATTTAAAGGAAGTAGCCTCTTTCACCTAACTAGGCAACTCTGTTTCAACTACAGGCAGGACAGACGAGGATGTCAAAGTCAGAGATTGAATCTTTGTTTATCGAATCAACACTAAATACATCGAGCAACCAAATCACAGTTGAATTGATGAAATCCAATTGCGTCTATATAATAGAATAGAACCGGTACACTTCATCGGGCATTACATCAAAGCAACTGACTGGCATATTACCTACCAATGGAATGAGAAATATTTCACAACTTCTCGCAGACAATTGAACTAATGCTTCTCTTTTAGTGGAGTTATTGGTCATTGATTTAGCCAATTGACTTTCAGATCAACTGAAAGTCATAGGTTCGAACCCTCAGGTAGTTAAATAAACATTATTAGCCTTCAAGCAATAGATATGAACTAATTGTCTATTACATAGATGTTCATGAGACTATTGTAACATTATTACCATTAATTATTTGTTTTTTGGGTTCAAAGTGGAACATAGGAACTCAGTAGCACGTCTCCATTCTACTCTCTTCTCTCCAGTCTCTTCAACCTGGCTTCACGATAGCCCACAAGCTTTCATTTCTTCCTCACATCATCTCCTCCATGTCACCCTCACCACGGACGCCCAACTCGTCCTTTCCCATGCGGGTCCCACTCGACGGCTTGGCATGTGATGTCTCCGGACGGTCTTTCCAATGTATGGCAAATCCAATCCATCTTCACTTCTTTACAGTGCATATTTGTTGGGCGGTAGGTTGTTGGTTGGTTGGTTCGTTGCCAGGTCACAGAGAGTTCCATGTGACGTTTAGTATCGAGCACAGACAGCTGTTGATGTATGTCTGTAGTTAGTTGGAAATGCTTTTCGTTAGGCGCCAAGTTTCTGAACCACCACATAGAAACATTGACTTGACGGGTACGTGTTGAAAATACGGATGTTGTTGTTTATGATGAGTGCAGTAGATCTCCACACTGATTTCAGATTAATGAAGGAAAGCCTCTCTTGCAGTCTTTCCGATCCTCGCTAGCTGACTTTGACATCGTCATCTGTTGCTGTGCGGCCGCGTGCAGTTGAAACGATACTGCTGTAGGTAGGTAGGTAGGTAGGTAGGTAGGTAGGTAGGTAGGTAGGTAGGTAGGTAGGTAGGTAGGTAGGTAGGTAGGTAGGTAGGTAGGTAGGTAGGTAGGTAGGTAGGTAGGTAGGTAGGTAGGTAGGTAGGTAGGTAGGTAGGTAGGTAGGTAGGTAGGTAGGTAGGTAGGTAGGTAGGTAGGTAGGTAGGTAGGTAGGTAGGTAGGTAGGTAGGTAGGTAGGTAGGTAGGTAGGTAGGTAGGTAGGTAGGTAGGTAGGTAGGTAGGTAGGTAGGTAGGTAGGTAGGTAGGTAGGTAGGTAGGTAGGTAGGTAGGTAGGTAGGTAGGTAGGTAGGTAGGTAGGTAGGTAGGTAGGTAGGTAGGTAGGTAGGTAGGTAGGTAGGTAGGTAGGTAGGTAGGTAGGTAGGTAGGTAGGTAGGTAGGTAGGTAGGTAGGTAGGTAGGTAGGTAGGTAGGTAGGTAGGTAGGTAGGTAGGTAGGTAGGTAGGTAGGTAGGTAGGTAGGTAGGTAGGTAGGTAGGTAGGTAGGTAGGTAGGTAGGTAGGTAGGTAGGTAGGTAGGTAGGTAGGTAGGTAGGTAGGTAGGTAGGTAGGTAGGTAGGTAGGTAGGTAGGTAGGTAGGTAGGTAGGTAGGTAGGTAGGTAGGTAGGTAGGTAGGTAGGTAGGTAGGTAGGTAGGTAGGTAGGTAGGTAGGTAGGTAGGTAGGTAGGTAGGTAGGTAGGTGAAAGAGACATTTTCCTTTACATTCTCCCCCACCCCCACCGTTGATGGTGCTTGCTGTTGGTTGAGTTTCTTCATCACCTGTGCCTTCTCTACGTTCACCTGAAGAAAGTCGCGTCTTCGCTGCCTTGCCTTCTTTTTTTACCAACTTGTTACGTTTCGCCCGTAAATCTTTGAGTTTGTGTGGCATTAGACATTAAACATAAATCATCATTGTTGGCGAAATCCAAATCTTCCTAGGATCGTTATACTTTCATCGATGAAACAGCGAGCGTATACCCCTCTCTTCTCGTTCCTCGCAGTTTGTCGCATGATTCAGTTCAGTTGAGTCGACCACAACTAGGATGATCATCGTTGTTGGTAGGCAAATGATGTGTGCACTTCAAAGATATCATCTTGGCTAAGGAATACTTCATAAACAACTTTTTACAATACTTCTGGAGGAATTCTATCTAGTGCTTCTACTTTCTCGGCTTTCAGTAACTTTATTGGGGTTCAAGAGACTTCTACTTTTTTTTCTAAGGGCTTGTATTCATCAACTATATATAGATTCAATTCACCAATGAAATAATATTAAGTAGATAATTCAACTTACTTTCGATATAAGCATAAAACTTCTACACCACCGGGACCAATAGCGTAAACATTAGCTGTTCGACGACCTTCACCAAGTAAAGCTTTTTCACCAAAATATTCACCTTTAGTTAATTGTCTTATCTCAGTTTCTTTACTTTCTATAGGACTACTTTGTGATGATGAGATTGTAACTCGAACCTAAATGAATAAATAACAATAATTAGCAATATATCACAGATAACTATGGTTCCCCTTTGAATATACTACTATAAATAAAGGAATAGTAGTGGTTCAATTGATATAGTTTGAATATGTACTGAGCAAATCAAGCTACCATCACCTTACTCGATATAGAATGCTAATGGAAGTTGGATTAGGTTTTGAAGAGGATTCATCAAGACGGTGTCAAACCAAGATGCGGTATCAGTTGATTATCTTCAGCATCATCATTCATCAAAGTACTCTACAAGATGATGAATTCTCTAGCTTAGATGGCCAGCCATATTGGATTAGACAAGGTGTATATTTGCAACTTTACGATTCGAATCAGCATGTTACTCAATGTTGTAGTCAGCGATGTTACCATTCAGCTAATCGAAGATTGGCAACTGCCCTCTCACCTGCCCTCTCTCACTGAAGTTTCATACTTCTTAGCACTTATCAACAATTTAGAAGGTTTATGGTGATTTATTTATTGATTTCAGATTGATAATTATCAGTTGGAAGATAAACATTGAAACGATTGAAGCTTATGAGCATTAGACAGCTGTTTATTCTTGGTATCAGACTCTTCTGCCGTACGCACCTACCACTTGGCTATGGGTTTAACTCACAACTTTCAGGTTCCACAGTCAGCACGTTACCACTGAGCTAACCAGTGGGTAGGAACTCAAAAGTTCATATTTCTTACTTCTATCAGTCGTGACCGGTGGGATATAACTAACTAAGTCGAACATGAGGATAGTTACTGGATGAAGGACCGCCCTATATATATCGCGAATTTACAAAAGTAGGAAATATGGACCATGAATTTCAACCTATTGGGCTCTGAATCACATTCCTAGCGGGGATCATGAGTGCGCACTGCAGCAAGTCCTGTTTAATGTTCAGGACTTAATTGATCTCTTGTATCTAAGGGGTAAAGTCTCTTGATTACACTATTGAGTGAAATGCGTACGAATCTCAGTCCTCTCTAGGTTACAGATAAACCTTCCTAACGAGTAATAACACAACCATAAAACCTAGGTAGTTCAAGGGTTTCTTATTAATTACCTTGAAGCAACTAACATCAATCAAAGTCCACCACTATTCTGAGCCTCTTAACTTGGTGTCTAGCTAGCTAAACTGATCGTTAGGATTTGGGGTCAGCAGTCAGAACTAGGCAACATAAGATTTATTGCTCTCCAGTGACTAATCAGTGTGTTCAGTGTATATTTTGAACAGTCTGAAACATATTCACACTATGTGTTTCTCTCTGAGCTTAAGATAATGGGGGTCAGGTAACCGCATTCTCAGCTACTACTACTACCTCTAATCTAAAAAGCTGGTAGTAGTAGAAAACAGTAGGGGAAACTCTTCTATGAATAAAAACAAGAGAAAAAGGAGCTATCGGACTACACACACATACACACACACACACAATGGTTAGGAGTGGATTCCAACTTGACGACCGTTTCCTCTCAACTTGGCATTTACTCATCAGTTGAATCAACCTACCTGTCAGTAGATAAGATTATTCCCACTAAGATTCAACTCCTAGAATCGATCACTTCAAACGTTAGAGCCATAAAATCTCTTTTCTTATTTATCTTAATATCGTCTAATTCAACTGATCCTGTCACATACATACACACACACACAGAGACATTGATATACACACAAGTATTTCCACTCTGATCACTTACCTTTCCAGATTGTATAATAAAGAAACTATCTGCAAGTTCACCTTGTCTAATAATACAATCACCTGCTGAATGATATTGAGCTTCTAATGCATCAGCTATGCGTAGTATACGATTCGGTGATAAATCTTTGAGTAGAGGTACACTATATTAATAAAATCAATAAGGGAAAGTAAAAAGAGATAAATATTAGATAATTTACTGAATACTTTTTATCACATTTCATGAACAAGCTTTATATTGAAACAAATTTTGACTGACTAACTGCCTGACTAACTAACTTACTGACTGACTGACTAACTGACCAACCGACTGACTGACTGACTGACTAATTGACTGTCTGACTGACTGACTAACCGACTGACTGACTAATTGACTGACTAACTGACTGTCTGACTGACTAACTGAAAAAGCGACTGACTGACTAACTCACTAACTGACTGACTGACTGACTAATTGACTGTCTGACTGACTAACTGACCAACCGACTGACTGACTAACTCACTAACTGACTGACTACTGACTGACTGACTGACTGACTAACCAACTGATTGACTGACTGACTAGCAATGTGACTAACTGACTGATTGAATGACTAACTCGCTGATTGACTAACTAACCAACTGACTAACTAACTAACTGACTAAACGACTGACTGATTAACTGGCCAACCGACTGACTAACTGCCTGATTAACTGACTGACTGACTAACTGAATAACCGACTGACTGACTAACTCACTAACTGACTGAATGACTAACTGACTGACTGATTGACTGACTAACCGACTGACTGACTGAATAACTCACTAACTGACTGACTGACCGACTGATTCACTAACTCACTAACGGAGTGACTGACTGACTAATTGACTGACTGTCTGATTGACTGACTAACTGACTGACCAACTAATTAACTGACTGACTAGCAATGTGACTAACTGACTGATTGAATAACTAACTCGCTGATTGACTAACTAACCAACTGACTAACTGACTAACTCGCTGATTGACTAACTAACTAACTGAATAACTGACTAAACGACTCACTGATTAACTAACTGACTGACTAACTAACTAACTGACTGTCTGACTGACTAACTGGATAACCGACTGACTGACTAACTCACTAACTGACTGACTGACTAGCAATGTGACTAACTGACTGACTGAATGACTAACTCGCTGATTAACTAACTGACTGACTAACTCACCAACCGACTAAATGACTGATTAACTGATTGACTGACCGACTGACTGACTGAGTGACTGACTAGGAAATGAACAAATGACTTCAAGACACAGGTTCAAGTACATGAGACAGATATGCAACACAACTAACGTAATCCAAATGAATGCATCATTACGCATCACTCATTCATATGACAATAATAATGGATAATGATTAGTAGTGGAATTGAGGATTTGAATTTCGTCTCAATTAGGATTCTTCAACTGCCATTACCTACTTTCAATGCTAATTATGGTTGATCAATTCAGTTCAATCAATGATGGGGAATTATAAGCAGTAAAACATTTTTTTGGGAGCGGTGGGGGGGAAATACACACAACTGAAGATGAAATGAAAAATCGTGAAATTTGGGGAAAACCATGTAGGAGGTGAGTACAGGTACTCAATAATTGTATTGGATGGTAATCTAGCTATACTGCAGCTTGACAGAAGTCAAAGACTGTAAACCGTTGAATTATAACCCAACAGCTACCTCAATGGTAATATGCATTACTGATGAGTCCAGTGGTAGAACGAAATAGCTATTCAGTACCCTCTATTCTCTATTGCTTTTCTAAATAATTTCAATCCATGATATTCCTATACAAATCTCTAAATAGAAATATAAAACAGATTTTAAATAATGCGGTAAACTAAATCAAATCAGCTGACTGATTAATGAAGTACAACTGTGCCATTGTCATTAACCGATTTCCAGGCATATTTACGAAACTTTACTCCTCAATCATTGAAACCTTTTGTCTTAGAGATCTTAACCAGGTAGTCTATATCTCTTTAAATATGGTTCAAGAACTGACAAGGCTTATCAAATCAGTTATAACCATTCATTCTAGTGGGCAAAGCTTGATAGTCATGAGGACAGTTACTCAACGATGACATTGGGTGGTGGTTGCTCTATATCGTGAGCTAACAGAAGTTGGAAATATGGACCATTGGATTGTGACCCAGTGGCTAGCTCAATGGTAACGTGTTGGCCACGGAAGCTGAAGGTCATGGGTTCAACTCCTGGCGGGGTCGTGGATGCGCACTGCTGAGGAGTCAGTTCCATACTAGGACGAAATAGCTGTCCACTGCTCCCACCTTTCCACTGTCCCTCCAACTCATGTCAGTCTACGATGAATAACAACTTGGAATATATTTCCAAATCTCCACAACTCCCTCAAAATTCAGCTAAACTAGTGCTCATTGGTGACTAGCTACGAATGGTATTCCCGAAGTTCCGATGAGAAGTCGTAACCGGTTAGGGTAAAGCCTGATGGTCGTGAGGACAGTTACTCAACGATTACATTGGTTGGCGGTTGCTCTATATCGTGAGCTAACAGAAGGTGACCCAGTGGCTAGCTCAATGGTAACGTGTTGGCCACGCAACCTGAAGGTCGTGGGTGCGCACTGCTGAGGACTTCCACACTACTCTGACGAAACATCTGTCCACTGCTCCTTTATTCCTTCAACTGATGTCAGTCTACGATGAATAACAACTTGAAATATTATTCACATAGTCAAATGAGTATCGGATGTATATTGGTCTTATCTACAAATAAGGTAGAAAGTAGACTTGAATGAATAAATTCACTGATAAGTGGAAGTATTAATCTTCACAATAATGATGAGATTTTAGTAACATCAGGTGAGTGGGGGTGCAATGTTAAGTTTTATCCAATTAAGCAATACTCATGCTGACCACTTCACTTACCTGTGACGTCGAATGCCACACACACACACACACACACACACACACACACACACACACACACACACACACACACACTTCTTTGCTGGATCAACGACAAACAAACTCTCTGCATGGAAGCATACATAAGGCTTATTTAGCTTTCATGATGACATTCAATTGTTTATTATGGGTCGAATAAAACTGTATACTGAAGTATGCTTTGTTCAACTATACGGCTGGAGTAACATAGCTATTACAGGTAAAGTATATGAGAGGGTTTCAGGTAGTTGACCAGCGTTGCCTTCATAGCAATGGCCATATGTTCAATTGAGATATAGTTACCTGTGTCATCAATGTACGACCAGGTATTGATTACTACTTCAGAACGATCCAACTTTGACATACATCATTCAGAAGAAACTATTATGATGAATGGGGTCGAAAATAGTTAAAAGGTTACACTCCCCCTATACAGGTTTCTCAATATGCATGTGATAAAGTGAATTTACAACTTTATGAGACTGGATAGTGATGAATGAAAGTGAAATGAGAATATAAATCGTTACAGAGACTGAGAACTAATAGTCTATGGGATTATAAACTTAGTACTCCTACCAAGTGGTATCATGAAGCCCAACTTTTTAACACGTAAGGTTTTATACAATTCATTTGAATTGCTTAGGGTTACCACTGAATCCATGATATGTAACTATCAATTCTCATCATAATTATAATAAATAATTAAATTACATCATTTCACCAATACACAAACATGCATACTATCGATTTTTACAATGAGCGCCAAGGACTGAAACATTTTGATCAGCTGGTTGATACTTATAATTAATTGGTATAAGGGCTCCTCTGTGGGGATACCTCTTACTATTATTATTATTTGTCCCTAAGGGATTCAGTATCACATAGCCATTTCCCTCTCTTCTTGCCAGTCTTCATTCTTAACCTGCCTCCATGACTGCCCATAACCTTTCATTTCTTCTTCATATCATCTCTTCCATGTCACCCTCTCCTCGGATGCCTAACTCCTCCTTTTCAATCTGGATTCCACTGGAGAGCTTGACATGGTGTGTGGTATCGCCAATCGACCTTCTCAGTCCAATCCATCTCCACTTTCCCCTTCTGCATATTTGTTGAGTGTTAGGTTGTTGGTTGATTCGTCGGCAGCCAGAGTTCCTTGTTGCTTATTCTTTTTCGCAATCTATCTGATTTTCAGTATCGAATGAGCGTAGAACGCTGTTGATGAATGTCTGTAGTTTGTTGGAAATCCCTTTCGTAACGCGTATACTTTCTGAACCACCGGATAGCAGCACTGTTTTTGACTGAATTAGTGTTGAAAATCCGGATGTTGTTCACGTTTTATGCTGAGTGCAGTAGATCTTCACACTAGTTTCAGATTAATGAAGGAAGGCCTGTCTTGTTGTCTTTCTGATCCTGGTTTTGACATCCTCATCTGTGCCTGTATCGTCTGTAGTTGAAACGATGCTACCCTGTCTAGGCTGGTAGGTGAAAGAGACTACTTCCTACAGGTTTCTCCCGCTAATGGTGATTGCAGCTTGTTGTTGTTGGTTGAGTATCTCCATCACCTCTGTCTTCTCTACATTCACTTGAAGTCCCGTCTTAGCTACCCTGCCTCTTCTGTCAAGCTGTTAGTTTTCACCAGTAGATCTTCGAGTTTATGCGACATTAGACATTAGATATAAGTCATCGTCGCGAAGTCCAAATCTTCTAAGGTCTTTGTCTTTTCATCAGTGTACCAGCATATACCCATCTTCCAACACAATCAGGAAGATTCTCGGTGATAGTAGGCGGCAACCTTATCCTACTCTTGCCCCTTATTTTCACTTCAAAGACGTCACTGAGCATTTCATTGTGAATCTATTCGGTATATGGCGTCTTCATATACCTGTTTAGTGAGGTTGATAAAGACTTGTGGTACTTCGTAAGGGGATACCTCTATATTGTCTAAATATTGATTGTTATGATTTACTTGGTACTATTTAGCATGGGAATCCAACTTGATGTATATTTCGTCTTATTTGAAATTGAAGTGAGAATACATCCAGCTGATGAATCCTACACAGGACGAAACATATTTCAAGTAAATTGTTTTTATCAATTATTTTTTCAAATAATATTTCCAAATTACTGATGACAACAATATACATCAATAAAATATACCTTCGTAAAAATGCTTTACGTTCTTCAATACGTTCTAAACCAGTTTTCATCATGATTGCTTGGAAACATGCTCTCTCTAACACCCAAACACGTGCAGTAGTCACAGCTATAAAGGAAAAAAGAAGAAGATAAAAATAGGAATATGAATTATTGTAAGGTAGTGGAGTTTGATTCAAAATCTTAATTGAAGTGTGTGTATGTGTGTGGTCGCTGGTTCGAATCCGGCCACAGTTCAGATTTTCATCTCACCTTTAATCATTAACCAGTACAAATATCATTATTCATTAATTCTGTGGTAACTCAGAGGTCACAAGTTTAAATCTATGGTATTCAGCCGAAAAATTTCATCTTCATTTCAACATTTAATCATCATTGTCATCACCTAGTATGAATATCACCTAAAGGAGAGATAATGACATCAAATTGAAACGCTACGCATTATCATAGAACAGAGTATAGAAATGGCAGTCAACTCAACTCTACCTCAACTTCATCCACCTTGAAAAGGCCTTCCTTCAACAGCGTCAACCGAGAAGTAATTTGGCAAGTAGTTACTGCTTCAACACTACGGAGTAGCACAAACCTTTATCAATCTCATTCAACAACTATATGAAGACACCATATGCCAAGCAATTCACAATGGGAAGCTCAGTGATGCCTTTGAAGTGAAGACAGGAAGGAGTAAGACAAGGCTGCCGCCTGCTATCACCTATGATCTTCCTGATTTTGGTCGACTGGATAAGGCAACAAAGAGTAAGGAGCGAGAAAAGGGAGATACGCTGACTAGACCAGGGAAAAGATCCTAGAAGATTTGAATTTCGCCAACGACTTCGGTCTAATATCGCACAAACTCGAAGATCTACAGGCAAAATCCAACAAGTTGACAGAAGATGCACGGCAGTGAAGACGACAGACTTCAAGTGAACGTAGAGAAGACAGATGTGATGACGATATCTAACCAACACCACCACCAATAACAACAAACTGCAATCACCATCAACAGGAGAAACGTAAAAAAAAGGCCTCTTTCACCTACCTGCCTAGGCAGTATCGTTTGAACTACAGGCGGCGGTACAGGCACAGACGAGGACGTCAAAGCCAGCCAGGATCGGTAAGACAGCAAGACAGGCGTTCACTAACCTGAAACCAATGTGGAGATCTTCTGCACTCAGCATAAACAACAACATCCGGATTTTCAACACCAAGTCAGTGTTGTTATGTGATGGTTCATAAACTTGGCGGGTCACAAAAAAACACTCCCAACAAACTGCATACATTCATCGACAACTGCCAACGCTGGCTCGATACTGAAGCTCAGATGGCCAGAAACAGTAAGCGACAAGGAACTCTGGCTGGCGACGAACCAACCAACAACCTATCACTCAACAAATATGCAGAAAGAAATGGAGATGGATTGGTCATGCACTGAGAAGACGATTCGGGGACATCACACGCCAGGCCAAGTGTTCGAATGGAACACAGATGGGAAACGACGAGTTAGGCGTCCGAACAGAGGGTGACATAGAGGAGATCATGTGAGGAAGAAATGAGAGCTTGTGGGCACTCGTAGAGCCGGGTTGAAAAGATTGCAGAGAAGAGAGTGGAACAGAGACGTGCTACTGAATCCCCATGTTGCACTAGGAACCAAAGGCACAAATAATAATAATACTACGTTCCCACCTACTCTTACTCCTCTACCCAATCTAGACTGTACAGATAAGAAGGGAAGATAAATTAACTGGCATAACAGAATATAGACGTTCACGTGAATAGTAAACATACTTGACAAAGACAAGTATGAATCAGATAAAAATAACGAACTGGGAGATGTCTAGAGTTGTGGATATAAGGAAGGCTGCTGCAACTATTCAAGCTTTATATGTCAAAGAGTGATTACATCTGCGCCATTGTGACTAACCGATTTCCAGCCATGTCATCAAGAGTTAGTCCTCAACCACTGATTCCTATCGTCTTGTAAACCCTAAACATGAATCACACCAGCAGTCAAAGACTTCATCTACTGGTGCGTTGTAGTCTAACCACTCTGAACCTTCTTGAAACTGAATTCAACTTCCACCACCATGGTACATTGAGGTGAGCAGTGACTCAGCATGTCCAAGGCATCTCATTCGAATAAAGCTCACAACCTCATCAACCAACTAACCTGTTTTACCGCCTAGTAGCCTTTCGCCTGACCTCAACATTGTTCACGTGGTGATCCCACCAAACGCGAGGAATGCCACAAATACACATCTATGATAAAAGCCCTGTAACTGCTCCGTATACTCACTCATCCTTTGATTGATAATCAGATATCTTGCCAGTCGACGCCACAGACGACGCAAGCTTATCAATATCAGATGGACTTTCCCTATCCCAGTTCACATTTCGTCTGCAACCCCCTCAAGTAACTGACGTGGACGATACACTGCACAACTCCGTTCCCTATCATTGGACTAAGAGTACCTGCAGCAAGACTAGACCTGGGACGACATTTTACATTTCACAAGCGTTAGGGAAATGCATGCCAAATATATACAGATTTCTGCTCAATGCGTTCAGAAGACACTGCATTGAGTCAGCGTCTTCATCCAGCAGGATAATACCATCTGCACACTCCAAGTCTACTAGATGACGTCCATGGAGTAGGTCAGTCCTAGGTAAATCAGATGTACCTACAGTAATAACCATTAGTATCTCTATAACAAAGTTAAACAAGAACGATGACAGTGGATATCCCTAACGAACACCACTAGCTATCGTCAATTCTGATGAAAATTTTCCTTAAGCCTTGACATAGATGCATGAATTCGAGTAGAGACAGCTTTGATAAGCAATTTATGCTTTCTCGGTACTTGCTCTTAAGTCAGACACACTACCACGATATCTCATGGTCAACGGAGTCAAATACCGCCTTCAAATCAAGAAATATGGAACATGCAGGGCATCAGTAAGTATGCATGTGTTTGAGGAAGATTTGATTGGTACACCCTAGACCAAATCTGAAACCTGCCTGGTTTTCTCAAGTTTATCGTTTTCTAGCCCCAATAACTATGAACACTAGGATCTTGGAGGTGATGTTATAAATGTCGCTAGAAGATTTCTCTCTCTTCTGATAGACTGGAATGTTCAATGATGTAGACCTCCTTTACTCTACTCTGTTATTTTCTAACTTAATTCTTAAAAAAAATCTGTTGATGAACTACCAGACCCTAATGTTTTACATCGTTTCAGGTTCGTAAAAGCTGGATGCTGTAGGCTAGTTGACACATACATTTAACCCGAAGATGATAAGGGAAATAGGGCAGGGATACTAGGTACAAAAGATCGCTAACTCAATGCACCCTTTCTATTATAGTAAACAGATACAGATTACATTCAACATATGTGTAGAACAGACTAAACTATTAGTCCCTATAGAGATCACTTGCGAACAGTCTAATTCATACTCTACATGTTTCTTTCTTCAATATTACTCAACATTACTTTAGAAGATGTTAATGAGTGAATACATCTATGCTACTGAGACCGACTTTTAGTCATGTCACTAATAATGCTCATCAACTGATTTGTATTATTTGGCAGACCCCAACTAGGCGGTCTATACTTCCCTAAATAGCTCAGACTTCATACACCAATACCATAATCTTGGTTAGAACACTATCACCCCTTTTACAACCTACTCCAACTTACCCTGCTATGGCAAAATCACCTAGTCAGTGGCTTCAAATGTCCAGCAAATGTCTCAGACACCTCAGTCGACTATAGTTGACAACCTCATTGACCGGTTGACCTTCTATCTAGGCTATGTGTTATTCATCCTGCTGTTCAAACATATCTAGGAAGAGGGGGAAAAAAACCCCAATGATACTACATGTAAGGATTCCAGCTTACATTACTCAATGTTTTAGTCATAAATATTACCCACAGTCTACTTAATTAGCATTCAGAACTAAAACATCACAGCGTTTAACAGAACACAAAGTCAAGAACTAAGAAGAACTGGAGATGTTTAACAGCTTGATGACTGACTAGCTGACTGGCTGACTGACTGACTGACTGCCTGACTGACTGACTGACTGACTGACTGAGACTGACTGACTGACTGACTGACTGACTGACTGACTGACTGACTGACTGACTGACTCACTCACTCACTCACTCACTCACTGATAAAATCGACGTGGAGGCTCACACATAAGTGTATCACTTGAAGTTGTCACACACTTCACCGTGGTAGTGCACAAACAACACGTGGTGGATAGAAAAAAGACTGATGTCATCAAAGTAGACAGAGAAGATAACACATAGTGTGAATATATATTTGAACCTTAAAAGATATCGAAGAGTGAATACATCTCTACGCCATTGCAATCAAATTTCAACTAGTTAACTAACAGTCTTCACCTACTAAATGCTTTCATCTACAGGACCCCGACTAGGCAGCAGTCTACATATCCTTATACATTTCAGGTTCATTTCTGAAGAAAAGATATTTGTAGTGTGAGGTTTGTGGTTACAGTTGCGCTATATCGTGGATTAACAGTAGTCCCTGACTGTTAACCTGAGCTGTAAAGGGCCTTGTAGACTGCCTGGTTGAGTTCCTCGAGATGATAGCAATCAATGACTGAGGAATCTTGGTGAGATAGCCGCCAATCTATCGAATGATAAGTATACTGCGGTGAAGTCCATTCTCCCTGTTATAATACGGCTGTGAAACATGGCAGTTGAAAGTGGAAGACATGAGGTGACTAAAAGGTTTTGATCATAGGTGACTCCGTAGCATTGCTCGTGTTTTTTGGAACCACCATGTGAGCAATGTTCAGGACAGGCGAAGGATACCATGCAGAAAGAATGCTAAGGCTTGCAAATGTACTGCTCATGCCAATTCACCGTATATATCAAGGTGCCCATGTTAGGAGGAGATTAAAGAGGGTTCACAGTGGCCAGACAAAGATGCGGCAACAGATGATGAAGTCTCGTACTGTTGATTTGAGTCACGTTGCGAGGGATATAGACTGCGTTGCTGAGTTCCCCCAAACAAAAGGAATCAGTGATTGAGGACACTTGGTGACAATGTCTGGGGATCGACGAAAATCGAGGAGC